AGGGTCACCCATGCCAGACAGGTCAAAACTACAGGGTCGGATACAATAAATCTGTGGGCAGGATGAGCTCATTAGCCTTCTGGCAGTCATCCTAGGAGAAGGTCAACTCTAATTCCAAACCCGGGCAGATGGAGCTCGCTTAGCCCTGTAAGGCCATCCATCTAAGAGAAGGTTACTCTAATCAAACCTACATCCTGAGGACCTCACTGCCACCGTCCAAGCTCGCTCGGCCCTGGCAGATGAACTTCAGGATTAAAGGGTGGGTTCAGTTCCGCGCATACTGCATCTCACCTAAAAAATCCATTGCGCAGGCTTGAAGGCTTTACCCACATGCAAAAAGTCCTGTAGCGACGGGCGAGGGTCGAAACGGCAGGTGAAAGGTGCACTGGGAGCCGCAGACTCAACCCTGCATGCAGGCGGTTCAGGATATTGGTCATTTGAGACTGACCGGAGATGACAGTCTCTTGAGGCAGCACCCTGAACGACCAAGCAGCCTTTCCAAGGACAGCACTGCTTGCTCCACTCGGAGAGGGGCCTAGAAAAGGTGGCCTAAACAAAGCTCATCTCCACTTTCACCCGGTTGGTTAACCGCAGACCAACGGGCATCTTCCTCCAATGCGGTCGCACAAAGAAAAGTCAAAGGCATGCACCTGCCTCCAAAGGTGTACCTAAATTAACTCTAGCATGTTGGAACATCAGAACCATGCTCGATTCTGCAGATAGCGGACGTCCTGAGCGTCGGTCTGCCCTAATTGCCCATGAGCTGGCTCGTCTCAACATCGCCATTGCCGCTCTCAGTGAAGTTCGCCTTCATGAAGAAGGCAGCCTCAGAGAACATGGTGCCGGTTACACACTCTTTTGGTCAGGCAAGCCCAGAACCGAAAAACACCTCTCAGGAGTCGGCTTCATGATCAAAAACTCTATTGTTCCTAAACTCGAAAATCTGCCGACAGGTCACTCTGACCGCATTATCTCCCTACGCCTTCCACTAAACAACAAGCAACATGTTGTCATCTTTAGTAGTCATCTCCAAGCTGACCCTGCTGAAAAAGATAAATTTTACACTGACCTGCGCCTCCTTACCCAAAAGGTCCCTGCAGACGATAAGATCATTATCCTTGGTGATTTCAACGCCAGAGTAGGCAAGAATTTTGAAGTTTGGAAAGGTGTATTAGGCAAGCATGGTGTTGGAAACTGCAATGATAATGGTCGACTTCTGCTAGAATTCTGTGCAGAGCAACAACTCACCATCACTAATACTATCTTTCAGCAGAAAGATAGTCTGAAGACAACCTGGATGCACCCCCGTTCTAAGCATTGGCACCTCATCGATTATGTCCTGGTGCGACGGAGAGATGTCCGCGATGTCCACCATACCCGCGTGATGCCCAGCGCAGAATGCCAAACAGACCATCGGCTGATGCGCTGTAAACTCAATTTCAAGATCAAAATCAAACCAAAAAGGGGCAGCATCCCAAGGAGAAAACTCCAAGTTAACAATCTCCAATCAGCCACAGTAAGAGACAGTTTCCAGGCAAACCTTCAAACTAAGCTCGATAACATTCCCACAGTTTCTGCAGATTCCTCTCCTGAAACAATCTGGCATCATATTAAAAACAGCATCCTGCAATCCTCCGAAGAATCCTTAGGGTTCTCCCTCAAGAAGAACAAGGATTGGTTTGACGAAAACAACCAAGAAATCCAAGACTTGTTGAGGAAGAAGAGAACCGCCCACCAAGCACACCTTGCACTGCCATCCTGTCACGCAAGAAAAACAGCCTTTCGTCTTGCGTGCAGCAAACTCCAACAGAAACTCCGTGACATCCAGAACAAATGGTGGATCGATCTAGCTGAAAAAACTCAATTATGCGCAGATACAGGTGATCACAGAGGTTTCTATGAGGCCTTGAAAACAGCATACGGGCCTACATACCAGGTACAAAGCCCTCTACTCAGCGCTGATGGTCAAACACTTCTGACAGATAAAACCTCCATTCTGAATCGATGGTCTGGACACTTTCAGACTCTATTCAGTACCAACCGCACAGTCCAAGACTCAGCAATTCAGTCCATCACACAACAACCAGTAAAGTATGAATTGGATACTGCCCCCACTTTAGGAGAAACCCTCAAGGCCATACAGCAAGTGAAAATCGGCAAGGCAGCTGGGATTGATGGAATTCCACCTGAAATCTGGAAACATGGGGGCCCTGCACTCCACACCAAATTCCATGAGTTCGTGGTGCGCTGTTGGGAACTCGGCGAACTACCATCAGACCTTCGTGATGCAGTCATCATCACCTTGTATAAGAAGAAAGGAATTAAATCTGACTGCTCAAACTAGCGTGGTATTACTCTGCTCTCCATTGCTGGCAAAATCCTGGCAAGAATACTCTTGAACAGACTAATACCCACTATAGCAGAAGGTATCCTTCCTGAAAGTCAGTGTGGTTTCAGAGCCAACAGGAGCACCACAGACATGGTATTTGTCCTCAGACAACTGCAAGAGAAGTGTAGGGAACAGAACAAAGGTCTCTATGTAACCTTTGTCGACCTCACCAAGGCTTTTGACACTGTGAGCAGAAAAGGTCTGTGGCAGATTTTGGAACGTTTAGGTTGTCCCCCTAAATTCCTCAAAATGATTATCTCACTCCATGAGGATCAGCATGGCCAAGTCAGATATGGCAACACACTTTCTGAGCCCTTTTTAATTAAGAATGGTGTGAAACAAGGCTGCGTTCTCGCTCCTACCCTATTCACCGTCTTCTTTAGCATGATGCTCCAAAGGGCCACGGCAGACCTCAATGATCAGGATGGTATCTACATTCGATACCGTACTGATGGAAGTCTATTCAATCTAAGGCGACTGAAGGCCCACACTAAGACCTTAAACCATCTTGTCCGGGAGCTGCGTTATGCTGATGACGCCGCCCTTGTTGCCCACACAGAAGCAGCTCTGCAGCGTTTAACATCCTGCTTTGCAGATGCTGCTGAGCTCGTTGGTCTGGAGGTCAGCTTAAAGAAGACAGAGGTCCTCCATCAGCCTGCACCTCAGGATGTCCCCCATCATCCCCACATCACCATTGGTCAATCAGAGCTCAAATCAGTCCAACAGTTTAATTACCTCGGTAGCCTCATCTCCTCAGATGGTAAGATTGACGGAGAGATAGACAACAGATTAGCAAAGGCATATAGTGCTTTTGGAAAACTCCATAAAAGAGTATGGCGTAATAAACACTTGAAGAAAAGCACCAAGATCAGTGTTTACAAAGCCATAGTGTTGTCTACTCTCTTATATGGCTCCGAATCATGGGTCATCTACCGCCACCACCTGCGTCTCTTAGAACGCTTCCATCAACGCTGCCTCCGTACAATTCTAAACATCCACTGGTCAGACTATGTGACCAATACATCTGTTCTAGAGCAAGCAGCTATCACAAGTATCGAGGCCATGCTGATGAGAACACAGCTGCGTTGGGCAGGTCATGTCTCCAGGATGAAGGACCACCGCCTCCCTAAGATCTTGCTTTACGGTGAACTTGCCACTGGCTGATGCATGAGAGGAGCCCCGAAGAAAAGATACAAGGACTCCCTGAAACAACATCTCAGCCTTGGCCATATTGATCACCATAACTGGTCTACTCTGGCCTCAAATCGGGAGGCCTGGAGACACACCATCTATAACGCAACTGTCTCCTTTGAGAACACACGCAGGATCACCCTCGAGGAAAAAAGGCAACGCAGAAAGAACCGTGTATTGCAGAATACACCATCTAAGGAGTCTTTCTGCTGTGCCTTTTGCAATCGGATTTGTCTGTTACGTATTGGCCTCATAAGCCACCAGCGTGCCTGCAGCAAATGTGGATAGAGCCTTCCCAAATCTTCGTTCGCGAAGCCTAGCCATGATGACACTCCAGTCTCAGCTTTTTATGAACTAACAAAGTAGGATCCCTTCCCCTTCTCATCCCATTTGGTCACCCAAACCACCTGTACCTGTGCCAGCTGAACATTCACTTTTCTGAATGAGAGAAGTTAAAATTGTATATACACAAAACTTCAGATGCATTTCACAAAAGTGTTGTATGAAGATGTAAATACTGTCTTCCCTGTGGACACAGTGCTCCTCCTATATTAATTTCTGAGGTTTAGCTTTTTTCTTTTTTTTTTTTTTTTCATTTTCTTTTAACAGCCCCTGCTTACATGATCTGAATCTTAAACACTAGAGTAGGTAATTTTTCCGTTTGTACATTTCTTATAGATAACCGTCTATATTTTGAATGTTGAATGAGTGTTCAGGAGGATAAACTGCTATTTTGTACTATCCTGGTCTACTTTTCATTTACTGATTATGATGAAAAGCAAACTCTGACACTGTTCCATTTGTAATGTTAGAAAATGCAAGTAATGGGTTAATATTTCAACCTTTCTCTTTATTACAGTAAACAATACAGAATTTTACCACATTAACGAGAATAACTTTTTCCACTGTAATTTAATGAATTTTAATTTATATCTAAGCCTTGCAACTTTCCTGTGAATGATAGCTTCTAGTGGTTTATCAGTTGTGTGATGAAAAAGCATGTACTAGTTGTGTTCCGAATGCCAGTCAAATACAGTATATGGGAAGTATCTCATGTTCCTCTGGTGTCCAGTTGTTCTCTGGTTGAGAGAAACAGTTATTTTGAGAGAATAGAGAATGTCTCTATATGTGCATCAGAGCATTCCTAGGAGTCTTGGCAGTGGAAACAAAAATACCTCTTTTGAAATATCTTTTTGCTAGGCATGTAAACTTCTGTCTGTTACATTAGCTTCTTGTATTTAGTAAGGCATCACAGATGTTTTCTACTTTTTGTGGGTTAAGAATGGTATTCCCCAATTTAGTGTTCCCACCAAAACACTCCAAACCATGTGCCACTCGCTCATTTCCCCTCCTCCCTGTGGGTGGCTGGAGAGGAAAACTGGAGGCACAAAAGGTAAAGATCACAGGCTGATGTAAGAACAATTTACTGGAAACAGCAATGAAATAAGACAATGAACACAGCAATAGTAACAGCAACAATGCTAATAGAAGAGTGTTCAAGAAATGAATGATTTACATGAGTTCTCGCTCCCAACAATACCCAACTGCTCCCTCTACCCACACTGCCGACCCAGAAGAGAGCCCTTCCCCATCCCTGGAAAATGACATGAGGTGGTATAGCATAACATCAGGGTCCTAGCCATGCCTCCTCCTGGCTACTGAAAAAATTAACCCTGTCCTGGCCAGAACCAGGACCCTACTTCATAATAATATTCTTTATGTCTTAGCTTCCTCTCCTTAACAGTTTTTATAATCTATGCAAATAGCAGGCAGGTAACCTTCCTTGAGTGGTGCACTTGTTTCAAATAAAGCAAGACTAAAATTTGAGTTAAATACAAGAACTTCTAGTTTAAGCTTCTTTCCTGTACCCTGTACTTTATGCATTTCTTTATATACAGCTGGTGCTAGATGATTAGAGGGCAAGTTTTGTACAGTCTGTGTGTGTATATTTTGAGTGGTTTTCTCCCTCCCCTTTCCCAAAAGCAGAAAGAAAGCCATGAAAACAAACATCTTTTTGCACCATAAAAAAGCTGCCTTTCTCAACAGACAAGAAGAATATACCATGAGTACTTAATGTGTTGGTGTACAAGTGTATAAAGGATGTGTTTGCCAGTGATGATGTATATGGATCTGGCACATACTAACCTCAATCAGTCAGAAAACTAGCACCACATCTAAAATGTGGAACAAGAGTTTAGTAGTAAACTTGAATTGTAGCTTTGCAAAGCAGCTGTACCTCATAAAGCCCAGGGAAACAATAGACAGTAACTTGGTCCGTGTGCTTATGAGGTATTTTCAGACATTCCCGGGAATCATATTTTCTCCTTGGGTAATGGATTGCCATCCATAGTGGGTGCCATTCAGTTCTTTGAAATGCCTGCCCTTGGATGGACACCTGGTATATTAAGAGTCACAGAATGCCAGTAACAGGCAGAACAAAAGCATTTTAATATTTTGCAACAATCTGTGCTAGAAATTTATTTTCTACTGCCAAGCAGAAAGAACAGAAACATACTGACTAATTTTTACCAGAACAATAATCAGACATCCACCAGTAAACATGAGTGTAGGCCAGAGGAAAGCAAAGAGGAGACCTTTGGGGGGATAAAGTCTGCTTAAAATAACATTGGTCTGTGTTCCTCCTGGATCATAGTAACATGGGAAAGTGTGGTATTTTTTGAAATTGCTTGCAATTGTTTCTATTCGTGCTTTAACTTCTTTAGAGTTCTCCGACTTGTCTGGGACGTACGAGCACTGGAATAAGAAATTAAGGTGATTCATTATAATGGATACTGTAAAACAAAGTCTGTAGTTAAATCAGTTCGAAGAAAAAAGTCAAGCTAGTACTGACAAAATCTTCTGTGGTTTAGCATCCTTGAAGATTGTCTTGATTATGTCCATAACCCATTTGCCATGTTTCCCTGTTTCCATCAGTGTGTCTATGCCCCCAATCTGCAGATTTACAGATTGGAGTTATGTTGTTGGAAATCAATAACATGAGTGCTCAAAAAAACCCTTGAGTCTTTGGGAATGTCACTTCATTATTACAGTGCCAAACTCCAATTCCTAACAGAGCTTCTAGGCACTGCCACAGCAGGAAAGTGTCCATCATCATCATCATCATGGCCAGTCTTCGCGAACGAAGATTTGGGAAAGGTCATTACCCTTCGAGCCTGCGCAGTGGATTTTTTAGGTGAGACACAGTGTGCGCTGAACTGAGCCCACCCTTTAATCCTAAGGTTCATCTGCCGGGGCCGAGCGAGCTCGGACGGTGGCAGCGAGGTCCTCAGGATGTAGGTTTGTTTAGAGATGGATGGCCTTACAGGGCTGACGAGCTCAGGAAAGTGTTAATTGTGCAGAAATTCACACTGGCTTGTTTCACTGTGTGCCTTTGGTTGTAACTAGTAGAAAAATACAGCAAGCATGGCTTTTAGAGGCTTCCTACTTGTTCTTGTAACACAGAATGCAGTTATTTAGTCTTCAGTGGAAATACTATTAGACTCTGAAGCACACATTTTTTTTTTTTTGTTATTCATAACCTTTTTTCTCTGCAATATTATTTTTGATATCTAATAATGATTAGGTGTATTAAACTGGAAACTGGCCAAGGCAGAAGGGAGGATGGTTCCTGACCTGAAAACTTGCAGTAATGCAACTAGGTAGGAAATCAGTAAATCACCTCGTCTTGCAGTGAACAAGACTTGTTTCCATCTACACTGGATAATTTCTGCTTTGCTGCTTTATTGCATGTAACTTTCCCTGAGATAGTCGCTATAAAGATAGGCATTAGAAAAATTCAGCTTAAGTGTTTTATGCTATTAGGTTTGCATTGTGTGAAACTCTAACTCTTTGCACTTGAAGTCTGAGCATGTTTATTCTGGATTCTGAAAGTACTTCAATCTTGGACATTCAAGATCTGAATTTCAATTTTCCCCCTTAAGACAGTTGCTGATCTGGAATAAGGCCTCTGAAATACTCATGGGTTTGGAACTGAACTAAACCTGACCTTTCTTGGAACTGGGTACCTGTAGGAGCACTTTTTGTTCTGGAGGAACAAGCCCAAAAATGTTGAACACTCTGCTGATTCCCAAGCAGAAACCCTGGCAGGAACCCCTCATTTTCCCCCTCCATAATCTTTCACAGACCTCTAAAACCAAATGAATATTGTGCACCCACATTTCTATCCCACCCACGCACTTGTCCTCTGGGGAAGAGATCCCTAAAATTACTGACCAAGGGATCTCTACCACAATATCCAGCATCTCTGCCTTACACAGGTGCTACCTACAGTGCCACTGCCCTCTCCATGAGTCCAGGAAACTGCTGGAGACCAAACCAAAAACAAATGAGTTTTGTGTGTGATCATCTTCCAAAATCACTTATTTGTTTCTTCTTTCTGTCTAAAATGTGCATCATGTTGCTGTTTCCTCTGCTTTCTTTATTCCCTGCTTCATACTATACACGTAAAATGCAAGTAAAATTGGGATTTGTGATCTTATTTTGGATGGTTCTTAAATTCAGGTCTCTCGTGATAATTCATCATGGAACTGGGCAAACCACAGCTTATAAATTAATTGTTCCTACTGGTCTTCACCTTGGAGACAAATATTTTAAAATGTTCACAAATATTATATATTCATGTTGGTGTAATTCCTTAACAAGCATTAACTTAATGTTTGATGTAATGCTTAAAATAAAATCCAAACTATGTCATTTCTGGAATGTTTTAAAAATGACATTACAGATTGGAGTTATGTTGTTGGAAACCAATAACATGGGTGCTCAAAAAAACCCTTGAGTCTTTGAGAATGTCACTTCATTATTACAGTGCCAAATCCCAATTCCTAACAGCTTCTAGGCACTGCCACAGCAATAGTCTAAGACCAGACATTAATATGTAAAAGACAAGCAACTCCTGCTCTTACTGTGCTGCTTTGTTTAAAAACCATCACCTTAGGATTTCTTTCCAGTGTATCTTCAGTCTGGTACAGCATAACCTCCTGTCCCGAGGCTGTCAGATTAACCCACACCTGTAGACAGGGATAAGAAAAGATGTCCTCATCCTCTGAGCCTTCGCTGTCTGGGCAGAGAACTTTGTCCTCGATGTTGGCCTTGAGTACCTTGCACACAGTTTCTGTTGTCCAAACACTACAAAACCAAAACAAAAGATATTGCTTTTAAGCTCATTAGAAGCATCTGTTGAAAGTTGCATGTGGAGATGCATCTGTGTGTGGTGGCATGGCTGGAGTTCATGACCGCTCCATCCTGCTGCAGTGAACTGTGTCCACCCTGATTCCATAGCTGCACTTGGAGAAAGGCTGCCATAGGGAAGAAGTGCAGGAAAGCATTTTTGTTGTTGTTGCTGTTGTTTGTTATGCATTCTGTGTTTTGCAGTTAGATTTTGACCTACCCATCTTTAACAGGCTTCAAGTGTTGTTCAAGAAAAGAAATTGCTATGGATTTTAATGTTTGGTAGTAACTACTTGGAATGCAGTACACTCGATATCTCAGAACTATTTTGGCTAGTTTCCTTCAATAAGCCTCAGAACTCAGATCAGTTCCTACGGTTTTTCCCCTCCCCCCTTTTCTTTATTGCATAGGCCTTTTGCATGAATAAGAAGCCAGATTTTTTTCTGGATAAAGTTAAATTTTTGCTGTTGCATATCCCTTTTTCTCAAGAGTTACTGTTCTATTATTGATAATGCAATAAACTTTTGCTCACAGCAGTACGCATTGGTGGCAAAAAGTCAAGAAATAATTTCACTCAAGTTCGTACAAACTAATCTCTTTACATGCATCTGTCTTTTGTAATGTAATCTGGAGGCTGGAAAATAAATAAAATATATGTGAATTACTCTGTTTTAAACATAACGGTTTTCAAACAGTTTTGAGATTAAAGATGCTCTAGCAAGAAGAACAAGGTGGATATCCTCGCTTTCTCTATCAAAATCTTCAAATGTGAACAAGTGAGGTGCACTCTTTGTCTTGTTACTTTGATTTTTTGCAAATTGATTTTTTGTGTGGAGGCAGAATTTGCAAAATGAAATAAAAGTGTGGATAATAGTAACTCCTTCAGCATTCATTGTATTCTGCAACATTTTCTGGCACACTCTGTGCTAGTTTCCTATGATGGCTGAGTTAGAAGTAAGATACAGATTCTCCAGTAAACAATTTTGTCTTGACTTCTGTTGCTCAACTTTTAATAGTTTTATTAAACACAACACTCTCCTGCACGTGAAAAAGCTTTTTAAAACTGTTTTTATTTTGCAAGACTTGGCTTTTCATTGTCAAGCTTCCACAAGCATGGTTGGTTTTTTGATTTTATGTGTTTTCACACTAAATGTTTTAGTTTTTATTTTGTTTTGTTTAGCCCTGAGGAGCATAATTTTCTCTTCCTTGTGGTTACTTTTAAGTGCCTAATAGCTTCTTGGCTCATTTTTTTTCTCCTTTTTTCTGTCTTAAATCCTTATGAGCTCTTTGAGGGTACATGGTCTATTTATTGTACAATGTACTAACATATCTTTTATCACTTTTTTAATAATTGTATTTGATGATGACAAGAAAAAGAACAGCTTTATTTCATAAAAAAATGGCTGTTATTACCTCTTAGTGTAGAAAGGCACGATGGTGATCCCAATAAAAAAGTACATCATCATGGAGCATGCAACCATTCCCAGTCCCAGGCACAGGGCTCTTGTCTCCCCTCTCTTCTGAGCAGTCACCAACTTCTTTCCCAACATGATCTAGAGTTGTGAAACTTGAACAACCTCTTTTTGGTATAAAATCAAATACAGAAAGGAGAGGGAAAGCATGACAGTTATTGTGGTTGTGTAGCGAGTTTCTGAAATACAATATATTCCATGAAGGAACAGTCTAATTTTTGCAAAACTATAAATAATAAAAAAAAAGTTACTGTGTTTTTCGTTAGACTCCTTTTCCACTTTTTTAATTTACCCTATAGACCTTTAACAAGTGTATGTGTGTATAGGCTAGGAGGTGGGGTAGGAAATCCTTATAACTTTTGGGGAGAATTCTGTTAACAGTCCAATTCAGTCTATTTTATGTTGCTGTTTCTCTGAGGTAAGAGATGTTCTGTTGTGTATTGGTAAAGGCTGCATAAAGGGAAAATCTTCCCAGAATGGAATCCTTTTTACATGGCGCCTTTTCTTCTGGAGTAGTCTGAAATGTGATTGTCTTATTTCAAGAGAACTGAAATAATTTAAAATTTAGCATTTAAGATTTCCAGTTCAGACTTCTGCAAGTTTTTTGGCCTTGCCCATTCAGGTATACTCCAAACCTGGTGTTAGTGTAACACTAGGGAAACTCTTGGGCATTGCTGTCTGAACCCGAGCTTGTGAGTGACTAGCATTAGCCACCCCCCCCCGCTCCCTTGTCAAAGAGTGTTCTAAATGATCTTCCTAATGCTTTGATAAGGAGAATCTGAAAATAATTGCTGTGAATCTGTGTCATTTAATCATGATGATATATAGGATTACTATATAAATGGGCCATAACTTTCAGTGTGAGCTCAACCCATCATCAGTATCTGCTTCACTGACAGCTGTGACTGCAGGTTTTTGGGGTTTGTTTTTTCATGAAAACATGGCACAAGCCATTGTTATGGCAGAGGACAAGACTGGCAAGATTTGTGTGGGCTTTTTTTGAGATAAGAGAGGAAAGAAGAGCAGAAGGAGAAAAGGAAAATATGTTACATACATGCTGAACAAGTTTTCAGTCCTGTTCTCCTGTGCAAGGCAATGGTGCACAGCTTCATGCAGTGCATTTTCAGGATTATAGTTTCAGGTATGTGTTTTGTGTTTATCCTTTCTGACTGGCCTTCAGGAGGTGTGGTTCCTGCCTAAATCCACCTGTGTTCAGACTTAAATTTAGGTACAGTGTAAGACAAGTACAAATCAAAGTTAGCAAATAGGCTCTTCTGGTTATCTGTGAGTAGGTGGTCTCCATCTGCCCCAGGCTGGCAGAGCTATGCTGTTAATGCAGGTAGGGGACCACGCTGAATTTGGTGAACGATGAGATAGCTCTCAAAGCTGTGAGTTTCAGCTCTTAAAGGAAAGAATGGAAATATATTTTGAATGTTGCTTTCTTTCATGTTAGTTCTGGTTTTCACTGGTAAAAGTGCCTCACTTTGACTGTTTAATGATCAAAGGAAAAAAGTATTTGAACATTGACATGCTACTGTTTTTAGACTTCTATAACACCTGAATGTTTGTGCTATTAGCAATAAAAATAGACATCTGTGGACAGTAAAACAGCTTTGGTTGTTTCGCATAACTTGGGATTAGTTGCAAATTTTAAATACTTATTTTGAAGTTGGTAGTACATGATATCAAAGTGAAAGGCTGTTCTCAGGTGTCCCTAGAAACTAAAGGAGTTACTGTTAGAGTACAGAATTTTGTCCAGTTCCATATTTAATTCCACTTTAAATGAAACATCAACATCCACTGGGAGTTTTGCATACAGCATTTTTTTTTCTGATGATTATGTATTGTATACATTGGCATTGTAAGAAGCATCTCAATTTGAAAACTGCCATAAGACGAATCTTCCCTGTTTACTGGCATTTGAGTTTAATGCAGAATGTGAGCTAATGCCCTTAAGTAAGACTGTATTGTGTTTTGCTTGGTCAATGGTGTTATAAATAGAATGTGTGGCATCAAATGGTGCCAGCATGCTCATGCTGCACCTGCATATTCATGTAAAATTGGAAATAGCACTTATAAAGCCCAAAGAATTCCAAAATATTTAAAATACTGGGCAACATGGCACATTAAGACACATTAAACTGACTTTCCTTTACCTATTGTGCAGCTTGGTCAGAGGGGAAAGTGGAATAAGGGAACATCATTGGCCCTGGAGCACAGACCCCAAGACCATGTGGTAGCAGGTCCTTATAGCACAGTGGGAAGCTAAAGATAGATGAGTGAAAACGTGTTGTTAGTAAGAAATTCTTACATACAGTAACAATGATTACTCTTTAATTTTCTGTGAGAAACTGAAAAAATGAAAGACTGATACTGCCACCGTGAGTTGTGGAAAACTTCTGGTAGCCTAGTACTGTTAAATGAACTGAGTTTTAGATGAGCCATTATGTTTACTGAACTGACCCAGTTACACTGAGAAACAGCAAGGTAATCAACCCCCTTGTTACATGGAAAACTGTCGGTGGACAGAAATTGTGTGAACAATTTCTATTGCATTTCTGAGACCTTCAACTTGGCATGGTTGGGTGCAGACAGTAAAAAAATACTGCGCCACTAATATGGCTGCAGGCCTTATGCCAAGGTGAAGGAGGAGTTGTTCTGGCAGGAAAACAAGTTTTATGGACACCTGCTGTTATCCAGTTAGTACTGTACACCACAGTATGTTTTCCTTATGTATCCAATGTAACCTGGGGAAGAATCACGTCTGTGTGTCACAGGCAGCATATAAGCTGTCTGTCCTCTAATAAAGCGGACATTTTTGCCAATCATATTGATTTGTGTGCATTTCTGTCTGACCCCCTCCGCCGATAGAAAACAAGAACCATGGGACTATTAACCAAAGAATTAATAAGAAATGTAATTGCTCCAACAGTCTGCTTGAATGTTGGTCACACATGCAGCAGAAGTACCACTAAGCTCATGCTTCTAATAATCTAAAACTGCAAGTCTACCTCTTTAAGACACAAAAGGAAAGGAACTCGTATATGTAAATTGGAAATTTTTCTCAAGTGGCCAAGAGTTTTCCCAGCTTTAAGTGCAGTGCTGTTCCCTGTCCTGACACAAGCCAGACTGCCTGACCCTGGCTCTCTGCATGGGCTGCTGAGTGATCCTGTTTGCCTCTGCTCCCCCAGTTCAGATATTTGCTCTTCCCCAAAGTGAATAAGGACATTTAAATTATGCAGAGTGCATTAACAAGAAAGGTTCATTAAAAATATCTCATTAAGTGCTTCTATGGATATGTAAACTAAGCAGCTAGGTCTTCAGGCTGTGTAAATGAGGGATGTCATTGTTCTGTTGCTGAACCAGATTAGCTGTAAATGCGGTCCCTTAACTGAAATACGAATTTCCTGGTACATTTTTTTTCTGCTTTCCAATGTAGAAGATCAGAAAAAATCTGTAAAGCTATTTCAAACATGAACAGAAAAATTAAAGAGGAAACACTAAACAGCAAAGGAAACCCACGTGGATTTTTTTTCTTTTTTACATAAAAATTCCTACGTTCTTCTGCTGGAAATCCTTCATTTTCCAACTCTCAAGACAAAGCAATGCTGCATGCATATGGAAAAATGTATTTATTTGGAATTTCCTCATTGCTTAAAAGGTTAATTCTTTCAGATTAAAAAATTTTCTCTGGCTCCTGGCTCTGTCTATGTATATTAGAACAAGTGTTGAAAGAGCTGATTTAGTGTTTCCTCTGACAAAATCATTAAGTCTTTGAAAATGAAGCACTGCAGAAGACTTGATTGGCCCAGGAAGTCTGAGCAAATTTGAATTGGGAGATGTTGAAGCGTACAAGGTGGGCCTTCAATAGAAAATTTAAATGTATTTTTGTACTGAAGATTCTGTGGGCTGTCTCCCTATTTATTAGGAATGTATAAGCTGCAAATGTTTTCATAATGTTCCCTCTGCCTAATCTTCAATCTACTTAAATTATACAGTACATTAGCTGTGCAATTTCAATTATAATCACTGCATTGACAGCTGCTGGTGATAATACTAGGGATGCCATCTGGTCAGGTTTGGAATAGTCCCCTGTTTTGATTAGAGACATGTTTGATACTTGGCGGGAAGTCTGCCTCCTCCTCCTCCCTCATCTTTGAGCAGTTTCTAGTGGTGTAACCTCCATGAGTTTGGATGGGACCTCTCTTTTGAGCTATTATAGGATGCTCTTAACTTGGATAAAGTAGGAGTAATAGTGATGAATTCATCTTGCTTGCAGGAGAAAGGCTGCTAAATCCCTCTCTTGAATTTAAGTTGGGAATAAATATTAAGTGAGCTGGTCTTTTTTTTTTTTTTTTTTTTTTAAGCTAGCGTATCTCACACTGTAAGGTGAATTTCCAGTGAGTATTTAAGTATTGCATCAAGTTCTAATACAGCATCATACCAAGAAGAGTGATGCAAGTCATCCACATCTCTAATGTGATGAGGACTTGTTAAATAGGCCAGGACTCTTTGACCTTTACAGCCTCTACATACAAATTAGCCTCTTGTTTTCTCCTGTCAAGTGCCAACTTAATAGTCACCTTGTTTTATTCTCAAAACACCTTATATGGACAACTTAAAAACTGCCAGCTTTGTTGGGTTTTAAGAGGAGCATAGTTTTTGGTGACAGTTTATTGGCCAAGTGCATTGTGTGGGAACCAGAAGGCAAAAGTTTTAGATCTGTAAGTATGAACTCTGTACAGATCATGTTACTGGGACAGAGCTTGTGTTTACATATTTATTACTATCTCTGAGTAGAGTTAGTTTGATCACTCACACTTGCCTACCTGTGTTTTTGTGAATATTTCAACATTGTTTAGATTCTTCCTTTCTGTTCCAATCCTACACTCATCCATTTCTCATCGGCTGCTCCACCACTTACAAGAGGCTGCAGTCAAAACTGCATTTATGTTGTCACTTTCTTTCCCTCTCCCCACCCTCAGTCTCCTCCTCTAGCAGTTATAGGCATTTCTTACTGGTACCAGGGGTGCTGGGTCCAGAGAACACGGTTTTGTTCATTGTAAATTGATAAGAAACCATTACTTAATAATTTTTCTGTATATCTGGGACCACAAATACTGTATGTTACAGAAAAAGGTGGTGCTGAACCTCGATGGAAAAGTGCACAGAAAAGAAGATTCTCTTGTAGTTGTCTTGGAAACCTGAAACAGCAATATTTTGACTGCTTAACATGATACAACTATGTTTATTTTATGAAATATACTGTATCATTTTGCTTTGTTGCTGTACTGTTTACCTGATGTGCCACTAGAGTGAATTAAAGAAATTAGCTTTTTCTTCTCTTTAAAAACATATGCAGCTATTTAAGACTCATTCTTTTAGCTTTTAAATATGGTCGTTCTTAAAAAAATTAAAAATGGGAAAAAAAGAAGTTACTTGCTTAGTTCAGCAGTTTTGAAATCTTTCTGAAGTGCTTGTTTTTGATTCTGTGCTGTACAGGGCTGCACAGAAGAAATCAGTTTAAGAGTAAGTTTTAGGGAAGTCTGGAAGAGTTTTAGTGCCTTACTTAGGGGTAACTATGCACAACCTCTAAAGTAAGGCTCAACACCCAAAGCCCTGAAACTCCTAAGAGTAAAGGTGTATTTACCATTAAAATGAATAAAAGGTATGATCTTATATGAGCTCTATACTCTTAATTTGTGAAAATATTACTGTTACCTTTGCTAACAGTTATGAAGAATGATCAGATTGCATCGAGTTACAAAAGAGTTAGCTCACATGCTACAGGAAAATTATCTGTGCTGTCCTCCATAGTGCTGCAGATTTAGAAAGCCTGTTGCTTCTCAAAACACTGTACATTTCAGAACCCAAAGCTATTGCATGCTCCCAAGGAGAAACAGTTGCTTAGAAATATACTCACAGTTTTTGATGAAATGCTGCTTTTGCTGATGATAAAAAAAAAAATCTTCTGTTACATGACAGACTTGAGATAGTAGTAGAGCTCAGAGCTGAAAGGGATTTTTATTATTTTTTTCCTTCCTGTACTTCTCTGGGTTTTCTTTGCTGTGGCTGAACTCCTAACTTAGTTCCCCTATTACAAAGCCTTTTGTAACCATAAATGGTAAGGTATGAAAGAACACTGTCCTTTCGGCGATTCATTGCGGAAACCAGGAAACCACAATATTGACTGACTTTTCTCATACCCTAGAGTCCCTTTACCACATACCCTGGTGGATTTGTGTTAAGCTATGGCTCTACTCCTTTTGTACAGCTGTTTTAGTTTAGAAATCTGACAGATCTTTTGGGTAAGATTTAAGGAATTGAATGTATCAATGACCAGTGGTACTGATTCTTAATTCTTAATACCTAAGCTATTACCAGCTGTGTGTGAATGCTTTGTTACCACTAGTTTCAGTGAGTTTGAATGCAACAGGTGCTAAAATTTTGACTGTACACCCTATACACAAGAACAAAGCATCCATCATGTCATAAATGTTACACTGTGCAACATGTTCCTCTAGCCAAAAAGCAAAGCAAGTTTCTGGGATGTATAAATGGATAACTCCTGTAACAGAGCTTCAGAGAAGAGCTAAAATAAAAATATTTTGTAAATTTTTCTGTTTTGAGAGAGAAAAACTCTCTTATTAGGAGACTAAAGGAATTTAAATGCATTAGTCCAGTAGAATCACTAAGAGAGCGCTTGTAAACAAGGGTAGGACATCCTCCCCACACACCCCCCCGAGCTTTAGGTATTTGATAATTAGCTCTTTTGGCTCAAGCTGCTCTTCTAACCTTGCTTTTGGTAAAAGATTTGAAGTTGACATGCTCAGAGTGCTCATGCTGGCTGAAGATAACCTATCAATCTCCTTCAGTAGGACCTTTTCTATTATTACTGATGCAGTAATAACAAAGCTAACTTGGATTTAGATAGACGTTTACAGCTAAGTAAGAGGAAGCCTGCTACTATCATCTAGATTGGAAAGATTTATGATCATAGTAATTTTTTAATACTTGAGATGTGATGTAGTTAAATTTAAAGAATAAAGAATTTGAAGGTTGGAAAAAAGAGTTATTTCCAGATAAAAGAGGATCGGGTTGAGTGGAGTATTCTATTATTTTTTGATACTTAGAAATCAAGACTGGATATTTCAAAGATGGATATTTCAGGCTCTGCTGACTCAAGGAAAAGTCATGATTTTAATGAGGAATTTATTAAAAATTATTTTTGGGCTGTGTGATTCAGCAGTCAAGGTAGAAAACAAGGTAAGCCCTGCTGAATGAAATTCATGAATCTTCAAATTAACTGTCTTCTCTGCCTATTCTCCTTAACCCCAATGGTTAATACTCACAGATCAATTTCTAACTCCTACACTAAGGAGTTCTACTGCAAAATTAACACAAAGCTTGTGGATTCCAGAGCAAAAATATAGAAAAAAATTTTAAAAGTTTTCTCAGTGAAAGGAGGTGGTGGTAGAGTGGTTGGGCTCAGTTTGAGGTGCACTGGTGGTTTGTTTGAATAGACAGAAGCTATGCTCCAAGTCTGATGCTACACAACACTTTTTGCTTGGTTTTTTCCTCTCACATACACTGCAGATGTACAAGTCTAGGTGGTCACTGGTTCTTGGAGAACTAACCCAGTAAAATAATGTGGGTGTGCTAAAGGGAGGTCCACTTCTAACCTTGGGATAAGTTCAGCGTGCCACTGACCTGTACCAACTGACATGTATGCATTGGAGCTCAATGGCAAGCCAGATGTTTGTTGTGCTATAAACTGTAATTCTGTAAGTCACAGTCTAAAATATCCTTTATCTTCTTAAAACCACATGGAATATTTTCTTTTTTTGAACATGAGGGGTGGGAGGAGAAAGCGAACTATCCGGTGCTTGAAATCACCATGGCTCTCAGAGGGACACCACTTTCTGATAAACTACAAAACTGGTGCTGCTCTGTTCTTCCTTGCCTTAGTGCTGACCCAGAGAGGGAGTGTGGGATCACTGCTGGAAAGGCTGAATACCTGAGAATGTTCTGTGAGTATTGGTGGCAGCACAAATTGAGGCCAGTAAGGGTCACCTGTAGCTAAAGGCAGTAACCCCTGATGGTCTATGATCCTTTTGCAAATACTAGTTTTAGCCAAGATAAAAAATTTTTTGGGGAACTTCACAAGTTTTGCTTGAGGTGCTGTTTAACTGGGAGAAGAAAAAGAGAAGACATAATGTCAGAACAGGCATTTTTTGAACTTCAAATACTCTATTTTGAATCTGCACAAGTTTATTTTCAATGTCTTGTTTCCCACTTATTTTATTCCAAGGTATTAAACCCTTTGGCTAAGGCCAAAATAAATTTCATTTGAGGGATAATTTTCCATAATTCTTTAAAAAATGAACAATGCTTCAACTGGGAAGATATTGCTATGTCTGTATGTTAGTGAAGTAGCTGCACTTAAAATTATCAGCCTACAGAACTGCAAGGATCTACTGGGCAAATTAAATAGAATTAAGATAAATATTTTAGGGGAGTTAAATTCTCTGTAGAGTGCTAGTGGAAGAAAAATCATGTGAGAGAAGGTCTGTGGCTCTGAAAGAGACAATGTGTAAACATGAGCATACAAGGATAGTAGCTTTGTTTTGTAAATAAAAATATGAGGAAACTGTAAAGAGCAGTGGCAGGGAACAAGACTTTCTGGTGTTTACTCGCTGTACTGCTCTGCAGTTGTCCTTTGGGCATCATCTATATTGCAGAATCCTTTGTTCCAGCCCCTTCTGCTCCTTACTACCAGTCATTGCAAGAGGGTGTTCATTCAGAGGGTGCTTAACCTTTCCAAGGAATCCAGCTGACTTTGCTGGAATTCTGAAGCTTCAAGGAGACTCAAGGGAGTCTGGTTTGACCCCACGTGCTACTGAACAGTTTATTCTTGTAATGTCACATGCATAAAACTTATTCAGTGTTTGCAGGTGACCTGTTTCACATTAGACTGCTCTGTGTAACGGGAATCTTGCTGGAAGTCCAAGTTGGATTAGATAAATAATATCTGTACTCAAGCAGAAGTGACGTGAATTTGCAAACTCTGAACTCCTTTTGGACTCTGATGTAAAGAGCAGTTCAGGATTTAAAAGGGGGAAAGGAAATAAAAATAAAGAAGCAGTATCTTTTAGTTGCTCAGAACTGCTTATTCAGTTCTTCTAAGATGATCATCCACAAGGATTTTTTTCACTATTAGGGCATAAGAAAAACTCACTGGCTATGAGATAGAGCAAATGTAATAAGTATTGTCATTTTATTTCCAGGACTCTCTAATGCTTCTAAAGAATCAGTGAGCTGTGAAATGAGCACAGTTGTTTGGATCTTCAGAGAGCCCTGCAAAGTTATGAGCTCCCCCTTCCTAATTTAAACATATTTATAGTGTAATACGTTGTCATTTTTAATGGGCTTCATAAAGAGAAGCTGTGGCTCTTGAACAAGGAACAGTCAAATATTGAAAATGGTGTGAATCAGGAGGATGAGGATGTACTTAATGTTGGCATATCTACATCAGGCACAGGGAAACTTTACAACCGGCTGCTTCCTTCTAAGTAACTGAATTAAACTGTTTGCTGGATTTGCTTTTAACTCCCCAGTTTCATGAGGGCTGAAAGTGTCCAGTTTTCACACATATACGTGAGCAGGAATTTTGAAATATTTGTTTAGCCTCCAACTTCACAGCATGGTGGCTGTGTGCTTCTGATGATTCCCTGAGCGAAAGGTAGATGAGCTGTGATGGGCCTCCCTGAGGCATGTCATACCTGTATTAAAGCATAATGCTGTTATTTTTCTCTGACATTACTGAGAACTCACTACTGTATCTTGCAACTGCTTAACTGTTTGCTGCACCCAACGCCCTGTGGGTACACACAAACTGATTTCGGAGAAAAGGATTTTCAGTCAGAGTAAAAAATGCTTATTCTCTTTCTCAGTTTGGGTCTTGTATGTGTAATCAGTTCTCAATAATATTATTCCATCTAGAGAAACCCTAAATAGGGGAAAAAAAAAATCTAACCACTGCCACAAAAGGACCCCAAAGAATAAAAAAATCCTAAAAGCCATAAAACCAAACAAACTCACACCCCAGTTGTGGATTTAAAAGTTTTTTACAAAAGGAGTCTTTATTCTTGCTTTATTGGATGGGTACAAGGCAATGTTTGGGGAATTTCTGCCCTGTGCTCTTTCCAGTTTGTAGTCGGATGCACAGAGGAGGCATGGGGGCTGCTCTGGCCTCAGCCACCTTACTCCTTTTGTGCTATCTTACTGTTACATGCTGAGCTGTATTGACTCTAGCAAGCAAACCTGAATAACAAACTTTTAGCATAGTCAGAAATTGGTGTTGTCTGATTTTGTTTGTGCCTCAGGCATGTAATACCTATCATGTTACATTTGATGCTGATGGGAGTTTTATGCAAAGGCTGAATAGTATCTGATTTCAGGTAAACCAAAGCTGCTAGGAAAGCAGTCTCGCGTTCAGGTTAACTATAGCATGAAGAAAATATAAGGCATTTCCTGAATTTGTGAACTTATTGCAGTTACTCTGATACAATTAAGTATGAAATATAACATACGAGTATCACATGGTCATGCTGCAGGACATAAGCATTGCAAAATAATGAAGGCACATGCTTATCCAAGATAGGATGGAGGGCTGACTCTAGTAGTGTTGTTGCTAATGGTCTCAGTTGTCTTCTGGGGAGTTTGTTTCTCTAGTGAAATAGGTAATTTTCACTGTCTGAACTTTGTTCAGTGTTTGTATTGTACCTGAGAGAAGGGGTTTCCCCTCCTCATCTATAGAATGGGAACAGTATTTCCTTCCTTACTATCTTAAGGCAAAATAAGTTAATGAAATGTAATTTTGTAATGGCAGGCACTCGGTACAAAAGCTGAGTATAACTTGGTATGTAATCTGGACAATGAAAAGAAAATTGTTTTTGTTTTTTTCCCCCCTGATTGAATAGTTTGCCAAGCTGACAAAATGCAGGCAGAAAAGAGGAGAAA